ACAAAATGGTCGCCAGGAGTCGATTAAGAATTTTATTATATAGTAAGATTACTTCCTAAACTGTGTAATAGAGGTAGTTTTAAGGTAGGTTTATTTTTTTCAATAACTGGGGATTATTATAAACATGAGCTGTGAAAAACATGGGGATAATCTTACGAAAAACGCGTTTTCTAGGGATATGCCTTAGAACTAAATCCTGAAAATCTGAAAAGTGACTATTCAATTTTTTTCTAATACTTGAACGATTTTCTTGAGGTTAAAAATGGAAAATTTGATTCGAACTTAGAAAAAAAATTAAACAACTGGATACTTGTAAATTTGTCCCTCTATCGTAATATAGAAATAGAGTTTGGAAATAAAATCTTGACGTTCCAATTATGAATGTTCAAATAATTGCATTGAAAGAGAATTCGATTGACTGAAACATTGCCATGAAAATTCTGTTTACAGAAATTGAACGTGGTTATTTTTCTTTGTAGGTAACATCTCCAAGGCTTTTATTATGATTGGTATTGTTAACAAAATTTGTCAAAATTGGTAGACATTTTTAGTTTACTGATGTTACCGTGCGTGGCACTAGACGCATACAACAATACATTTCATGATTTCACGATTGTAAAATCATTGTATCGCAACAATACAATAAAAATTTTCTGTAAAAACTTTGTGTCCCAATACTGTTTTTGGCAATTGTATCCGCAAAGACAGAAAACACTAAAGTCTTTTTAACACGGTCATTGGATTACTGATACATCAGATGTTATATATCCATGTCAATTAGATGGGGCAGGAAACAGGAAGTTAACAGCTACGTGTGGGACATCTCGCACACAAAAAAAGAAAGCAATACGATAACGTAACCTTAATTGAATAAAAACTGCCGCGACTGTGGAAAATTAATGAGAAAATTAAGGCGGGGACTGCAACGTTTAGTAAAATTACTTTCCCTTAAGCATTTACCTATAGTGTGGCACAGTTTTTGTGATTCTTTGAATTTCAGAGGTCATAGCTCGGGTCATCGGGAAACCAATTGAAAATGAACTTCCGAGAGAATAGTATGAGAAGGGTCGACTTCTCGTTTGTAATTTCCGTGGTTTTTACCTTCAATCATAGTTGCTACTCAGCCAAATTTCCACTCACTCTGTTCGGAAAATTGGACCGGAATCAAGTTTTATTAACAAACTAAATGATTGGCGGTAATCGTTGAAGTTGAAAAATTCGCGAGGAATCCAATCGAAAAACCTCTTTGGACTTTTTTGGACAAGTTTACTGGGAATTCAATTGAAAATAAACGATTGTTTCAAACGTGTTTTATTTGTTTGCCTTCAATATTAACTGAATGGTTAGTAATCTAAAATAATGTAAAAAATTTATGTTGTATGACGATAATGAGCTGCGAAATTTGCTGAAAATAAATTACCCAGTTTTGGAATCAGTAATACCGGAAATCTTCGCCGCTCAACAAGCAGAAAAATCACTTTGTGAATACATTACGATATACATTTTTTGGTGTTATTCCTCCCGAGGCGAAACTTTCAAATCTAAAGTAAAAACTAAAGACTCACTAAGACTCACGGAAAACTATGCACATAATGAAATTGGGACTTTGAATTAGCGATATTCCAGCGTTCAGTTTTTATTACTCAATAAATTAATCAATCAATGAAAAAAATTTGTTTGTTACAAAAGACAGAAGAACATTATTGTTTCATTCCTCAACACATTTATTCTCCACAAGTTCTAGTGGTCTCTCGATATCCTCCAAACCAAAAGTACCCCCAACGATACAATGAAAGCAAGAAGGGGAGAGGGGAGATATGCTAGTTTTTACCGGCAGACGAAGTGACGCCGAACCGTCCTACATCTGAGAGGAATAAAACAAAGGTTTATCTTACATCCCTCCAACTTCTGTGCTTTTTCTTCAACGAAAGACGAAATATATGTTGCATGAAGTGATTCGGAATGAATTCTACTCATTATAGTAGTGCTACAAACTACCGGAAAGGAAAAAAAGTGGGAAATTGCTCTTGTCTTGTATATAGCATAGTTATTTTTACTAATAAACTAGCAACATCGTTCCGAATGGTTATTTTGCAAATCGTTTCCTTCTATCATGTGTAATTCATTGGTTATTCCGTTGTTTTAAAATTGAAAATCATTTTCTTCTGATTTGGTTAGATTTTCAACGTGATTAAATGTGATCATCATCATTATTTTTATTATCTCTCTATTCTATACAACCAATTGGCTTTTTTACAGTTCTATCTCTCCCCTCAGTACTTCGATAAAATGTTAATAGAAAAATTTTATTTATACACAATAGAATGAATTTGAAAAATCACATTTGGAGAAATCAACGGAAAGTGTGCTTTTAGAGAAATTCATAAAAAATTCGAAATTTTCAACCATCATGAGCAATTCCGCGGCAAATGCGAAATGAAAAAAATTTCATGTTTCCGATTGTCTTGTCGATTTTTTTAGGAATTTTTTAAGAATACGTGAGACTATACTTTCAGAAATTTTTTAGAACAATTCGATTTTTTTCTTAGCGAGTTATGATTTCCCAAAAAAATTTCACTTTTTCCACTTGCATTTTCATTGTTTCATAAAAAGATGAAATAATTCAATTGAATCATTAGGAATGGAATTTTCGTTTTCACACATTAAATGGTAATTGAAAAAGTTTCAAAATGAGCGCCATTGAGTTCAATTTATTCAATTTTTAGAGCTGTCATGACAAAATCAATTTTTTTTTCAAACTGCGATTACTCAAAAACTTAATTTTTTAAAATCTGAAATTATAGAGGTAACTTGGGGATATTATGACCGGTATTTTTACCAAAGGAGAATAATTATTTGGCAGTCGTTCTTCTTTAAACGAGTGATTTTCTTTCTTTGACAGAGAAAAAAAATTTTTCAACTAGTAATACTCGAAAAAGTGCCGTATTTTAAGCTATAGTCCACTTAGGAACATATACCTACCCACATGAACATTACAGTGAAGGAGGGGACACTCAAACCTTTTCTTCGCACAAGTTTTGAATAGTCTCGGTGTGAGAGGAGTGGGGGGTCAGTCAGAAAAGCACGCTAGCGTACGCACATCACTACAAAACAGCGAAAAGTGGGGTACCGTTAGATGAAGCAAAGGGTTTAGAATCCTCACTTATTCTTTAGAAATCCCGACTCCCTGACCTACTTTCCTGACTTATTTGATAAAAATAAGTCGGTATTCTAAACCCTATGCTTCCTCTGACGATACCCCATTTTTAAGAATTTAGAATTTAGAGTAATGCAGCCGGTCAATTTCTTGCCCAGAGTCACCTAAATCATACGATTTTTTGTAACTTCCGCCTTATGCTGGGAAGTCCACCAGCCCCAGCCCTGTGTCTTTCACTAGGCTAATGAGGCTGGTCACCGCTACTTCATTTAGGTCAGCTGGTTCCATGAAAGCCTGGCCCCAGCTCCTATATCTACGTATAGCCAGTAGGGGGCATTCGCACAGAATATGTGCGGCGTCCTCTCTACCGTCCCCGCATAGTCTACAGCCTGCCTGTTCAGCTAGCTTCATGTTGTACAGGTGAGCCCTGAGGGTAGTGTGGCCTGTGAGAAGTCCTATCGCAACCCTCGAATTTTTCCTGTCCAGCGCCAGAAGTTCTCTAGTCCTTCAATTTGACTGCTCCCCCATAAACAGTTTAGCCTGTCTACAGGTTGTGCTAGTTCGCCAGCGTTTTTCGAATTCCCGCTGTAGGTGATTTTTTAAGATCTTTTCTCCCACTGCGGAAGGCACACCAATCAGACCTTCCGGAGGAACGCCTTCCATTCCTCTTCTGGCCTGCCAGTCCGCCTCTTCGTTACCCTGTATTCTGCGGTGGCCCGGAAGCCACGTTAGGGTGACTTTATGCCTCTCCCCTAAAGTGGCAAGTGCTTGCATAAACTTCCACACCACTTTAGAATTAGTACTGGCTTTCTCCAGTGCTTTTATGGCTGCCTGGCTGTCGCTGCAGATGAAGATTTTCATCCCTTCCGTGTCTTTTGCTACCAAGTGCTCGGCACACAGGGGGACAGAACCAACTTTCATGGACAGTAGGCGACAGGAAGTACTAGACATAACTCTGGCAACAGATGATGTGGCTGGGTTGGTTGGAGACTGGAGGGTCTCAAAGGACCTCTCGGCCTCGGATCATAGAACCATAAGAATGTCCGGTCTTTTTGAGGAAGTGACGGAATGGAGCAGAAACCCACGGCGGACCGACTGAAGAAATTATCGGAAGAGTCTAGCACTTAGGCTGAGGATGATTTCTCTCAGATTTGGCAGCAAGAAGCAACTGGAAGAGGCCTCTAGCGTCTTGCACCGAGTGATAATTGACTCATATGAGGAAAACTATAAGTTGTTGCCCAGAAGGCGGAAGACTGAGATAACCTGGTGGTCGGAAGATGAACTTGGGGGACTCAGGAATGAAACCAGAAGGGCTTTGAACAAGGCAAAGAATGCGAGAGAAGGTCCCGTAAGGAAGAAGCCTGGACGACTTACAGGGGACTTCTCGCAAAGTACAACAAGGCAATAAAAGCCGCCAAAGACAGGTGCTGGAAGGCTTTCACGAGCACGATTGAGAGCCAATCAGAAACTGCCAGGCTGGCGAAAATACTTGGTACAAACAAGACCACATATCTAGGGAGCCTACAAGCACCGGATGGGAGCAATACGGAGACAATGGAGGAAACATTGAAATTCCTAATGAGAACAAACTTTCCGGGATTCACCGAATCCCGGGGAGGAGATACAGAATCCAGCCGAAGTCGAAGGGGCGAACACGAAACTCACGACTGGTCCTTGGCTGGCAAAATTGTGCAACTGTGGGGAGTCAAATGCGCTGTAAAGACCTTTGAGCCTTATAAAGTGGCAGGGCCAGATGGGATTTTCCCGGCGCTGCTACAAGAGGGGATGGAGAACATCATAGGACCCCTCACCAAAATCTCCAGGGCCAGTATAGCACTGAGACATGTTCCGAGGTCATGAAACGAGAGTAAGATAGTCTTCATTCCAAAGCCGGGCAAGGTTGGGTATATTAAACCAAAGGACTTCCGCCCAATAAGTCTTACATCCTTCATATTGAAGAGGCTGGAAAGACGTGTGGACCAATTCATAAAAACGGGGCCCTTGGTAGCGAGCCCCCTCTCTCCCTCTCAATATGCGTATCGAGAGGATAGACCCACGGATACCGCCCTGCACCATCTGGTGGGACTCGTGGAGGGACAATTCGCTGCCAAGGGATATGCCATAGGACCCTTCTTGGATGTTGAGGAAGCTTTTGACAGCACCTCGAACGAAACCATGGAAGAAGCTATGAAGAAGCATGGGATCCCTAGGACGATCATTGCTTGGACACAGACCATGTTAAGGGGCAGAAGACTGTCGGCTAATCATGGACAAAGCTATATAGAAAAGTGCCCAGTCAGAGCATGTCCGCAGGGGGGAGTTCTCTCACTTCTGCTGTGGAATTTGGTTGTGAACGAATTTCCGGAAAGGCTGCGTGGAGCGGGGTGCCATGTCATTGGCGTTGCCGATGATCTGGCAATAGTAGTTAGAGGCGGTTTTCTGAGGGTGCTCAGAGACCTGATGGCGATGGCACTTGACATCGTTGAGAGCTGGTGCAGGGAAATTGACCTCTCGGTGAATCCCGCCAAGACCACAGTCCTAGTCTTCACGAAAAAATACAAACCAGAGACGATCAGACCCTTAATAGTGAACGGCTCGGTAGTAAACTACACCAACAAAGTAAAGTATCTGGGAGTAATTCTATATAATAAACTCAGTTGGACGGATCACATCTATACACAGAGAAGCAAAGTGTTTGCCTCGATGTGGGCATGCAGAAGGGCCATTGGGAAAAACTGGGGGCTAAACGCCATAATGACACTGTAGCTCTATCAGATCGTATTGTTACCAAGGCTAATGTATGCTGAGGTAGTCTGGTGGCCAAGGGGAGGAAGGGTGGAAATAAGGAACCTGTTGCAGGGCCTACAGGGAACTTTCCTGAGGGTCGCGACGGGGGCCATGAAGACCACACCTACTGAGGCGCTAGAAATAGCACTCAGTATCCTGCTTTTGCATCTCAGAGTAATTAGCTGTGCAAGCACAATAGCCTGCAGACTACGGTGTCAGCAGGATTGTAAATCGACAGGCCAAGGTCATATCCAACTTGGCTTGATTAATGCAAATCCCCTCACGGACAAGCCTGACAGGATTCAGAGAAAATGTCAAATTAACAAAGCCTTTAAAACAAGAATACCATCCAGAGAGAAGTGGCTAGATTCAAAACTTAAACCAGGACCCAAGGAGGATTACTGGTTTACCGATGGATCTGGCTACAATGAAGGCTTTGGGGCAAGGATCTATCGATTGAAGGATGGTTTCGGGGAAAGCTTCCCCCTGGACCAGCATGCAACAGTTTTTCAAGCCGAGGTGTTAGGCATAGCCAAGTGTGCCGAGCACCTGGTAGCAAAAGAGATGGAAGGGATGAAAATCTTCATCTGCAGCGACAGCCAGGCGGCCATAAAAGCACTGGAGAAAGCCAGTACTAATTCAAAAGTGGTGTGGGAGTGTATGCAAGCACTTGCCACTTTAGGGGAGAGGAATAAAGTCACCGTAACCTGGCTTCCGGGCCACCGCGGAATACAGGGTAACGAAGAGGCGGACTGGCAGGCCAGAAGAGGAATGGAAGGCGTTCCTCCGGAANCTTCATCTGCAGCGACAGCCAGGCGGCCATAAAAGCACTGGAGAAAGCCAGTACTAATTCAAAAGTGGTGTGGGAGTGTATGCAAGCACTTGCCACTTTAGGGGAGAGGAATAAAGTCACCGTAACCTGGCTTCCGGGCCACCGCGGAATACAGGGTAACGAAGAGGCGGACTGGCAGGCCAGAAGAGGAATGGAAGGCGTTCCTCCGGAAGGTCTGATTGGTGTGCCTTTCGCAGTGGGAAAAAAGATCATAAAAGATCACCTACAGCGGGAATTCGAAAAACGCTGGCGAACTAGCACAACCTGTAGACAGGCTAAACTGTTTATGGGGGAGCAGTCAAATAGAAGGCCTAGAGAACGTCTGGCGCTGGACAGGAAAAATCTGAGGGTTGCGATAGGACTTCTCACAGGCCACACTACCCTCAGGGCTCACCTGTATAACATGAAGCTAGCTGAACAGGCAGGCTGTAGACTATTCGGGGACGGTAGAGAGGATGCCGCACATATTCTGTGCGAATGCCCCCTACTGGCTATACGTAGATATAGGAGCTGGGGTTAGGCTTTCATGGAACCAGCTGACCTAAATGAAGTGTCGGTGACCAGCCTCATTATTCTAGTGAAAGACACAGGGCTGGGCCTGGTGGACTGATCAGCATAAGGCGGAAGGTACAAAAAATCGTATGATTTCGGTCACTCTGGGCAAGAAATTGACCGGCCGCATTATTCTAAATTCTAAATTCTAATCCATTTATTTGAGAGAAGTATTAATTTTTTTAATAACTTATTTCTCCATTCGAGTCATTCCCTCACCGTCCCTCACTGTAAGTATCCCACCGTTAGATGGATAGTTAGATATTCTAAAGTGCAATATGACTTGAAATAAATCACGCTTCGACTATTACAAGTCATCACTTTTTTTTTCTGTGTCATTTACGCATTGTTCGCGGAAACACATTTTTGACAAAAAATTACCTGTTTAACGGAGAATGACTGAAAAATAACTATTGTCCTTTGATGAAAATATCGGAAATGATATTTGCAAGTTATCCCTTAAAATTCAGATTTAAAAAAAATGAAGTTTTTGAGCAATTGCAGTTTGACAAAATTTGATTTTGACATAACGGCTACGAAAAATTGAATAAGTGGAGTTCAATTGCCCTCATTTCGGAGCTTTTTGAATTACTGTTCAATGTGTGAAAACTAAAATTCAAATCCTGATAATTAAAGTTAATTATTTCGCCTTTTTCTCGAGCAACCAAAATTCAAGTAGAAAAAGTGATATTTTTCTAAAAATCATAACTTGCTGAAAAAGTATCGAATCGCTCTGAAAATTTTACTGAAAGCTTGGTCTCATATACTCTTTGCAAGGAAACAATCGGCAAGGCAATCGGAAGCATGACATTGTTTACATTTCAGAATTTGGAATTGCTCTTATCATAAATATCAAATCAACCAATATAGCTCTAGTAATCATAATCATATGAAGTCATATGTGGGACATATGGGGGTTGGCGAGTGGAGCGAGCAGGGGGTGTAGCCTCCTGCTCATAGTGAATAACCTCACCTACACACAGTGAACAAAAATGGATTAGCTTTAGAAACTAATTTCTAGATTTCAGAAACTCCTGTTCTTAAGCTTCATCCTTAGTGGGATCATAAAAACTAATGAAGTTGGGGATTGTTTTCAAGAACAAATATTTTCTAAAACCAATGCTGAATTTTTCTTCATTTTAGAAAATATTCGGATTGAACTAAAACATTGCCGCCGAGATATTTAAAGGTGGTAAGTGCCTCATACATTGGGAGGGTTGACCAGATATCGAGAGTTTCAGATGTGAGGAGGGGTGTTTCATATATGAGGATTGTTTAAGTGGGAGCTTAATTAATTGAGAAGAGAGATTTATATGAGTGATTTCATTTATGGGAACGGGCTCGTGTATGGGGGGCTTATATATGAGAGGGGGGGTTATATAAAAAGGGGGTCTTATACATGAGGAGAGTTTTATATATGGCTGGTCTTATATTAGGTGTACAAATTTATAAGGTGCTTTTTTCATGAAAATCGGAGTTTATTATAAAAAAACAAAGACATTTAACGGTCTAAATATTTCCCGTTATTTTCGATGCCTTTACTCCACCTCACTGGCAACTGACGAATTCCTTCACGAAATAAACTTGGCGGTTTTGACTCAATAAATTCATCAATACTTTTTCGGACCTCGTCGATTGTTTTGAAGTGCTTATCAGCCAGGTGGTGTTGAAGGGACCGAAATAGGTGGTGGTCGGATGGGGCGAGATCAGGCGAGTAAGCCGCATGAGGGAGAACCTCCCATCCTAATTCCCAGATGATATCCTTCGTCGCTTCGACGACATGCGGTTGAGTGTCCCTAGTGGAAAAACATAAGGTGGAAGCGTAACATGCCTGATCAGAATTTTGGATCGGACTTGATCAGTTTCTGATTGAGACCTGAACAGAATTTCCACTCGGGGTTGTCATGTTGGAGAATCACTTGTCTACTTCCGCTGCTAATATATGGCCTCTTTTGCTCCAATGCATCATTCAAATGAATAAGCTGTTGTTGATAAACCTTCGCAGTAACAGTTTGGCCAGGTTTAAGTAGCTCATAATATATCACACCCTTCATATCCCATAAAATACTCAGTATCACTTTTCTCGCATAGACATTGGGTTTCGGAGTCGACATCAATAGTTCGCCGGGATTCACCCACGATTTTTTGCGTTTAGGGTTGTCGTATAACACCCACTTTTCATCGCCCGCAATGATTTTGTATAAGAAATGTGTTCTTTTAAATCGAGTGAACAGAGATAGCGCTCCAGTCGTCGCTCCTTATTTTGGGGACTCAGATCATGAGGAACCCATCTACCCTACTTTTAACTTTTGTCAAGTAAATGTAGGCGATGAGAAATGCATTGTTGAGTCACTCCGAGTTGTAATTCAAACTCTGTTTAGCTTTGAGCAGAATTTTCAGCCAAGAGTTTTTCGAGTTCTTCATCGCCGAATTTTTGCGGTTGACCCGGCCGTTCTCGATCCGGAAGATCGAAATCTCCGTCTGTAAACCTCTGCTACCACTTGTTACACGTTTTATATGTTACAGTGTTTTTTTCCAAGAGCACTACAAATCGTTTGAGTAGCCTTGGCAGCATTTTTCTTTAACTGAAATGCAAAAAGAATGTAGTGCCTCAAATGTTACTTATCGACAGACATCGTGTTTACTAATATTTTTTAAGGTTATGTAAGGAGTATTTACTGCTTCGGTAACTGAATACTACCAACATACAAAATATTGAAATATTAAGTTTTTGAAGGCAATTATAAACCGTAAAATATAGGGGCACCTTATTAATTTGTACACCTAATATATGAAGTGGGTTTATATGGAACATTCTAGATGTTATGGATTTTACATATGGGAGGGGGGTTGCATAAGGTGCATTTTACATAGGAGGGGCATTTTGTACATGGGAGTCGGGGATTCCTATATGCGCAGAGTTTCATATATGGGAGGAAATTATATGGGGTGATTTCATATGTGAGAGAGGTTTATTATAAATGGGGGATGTCCGGAAGGGAGAGAAGGGGTTCAACATATGGGAGGATTCAGGGAAAGGGGGGCTTCATCAATGGGGGGAAGGTTTTACGTACTGGCATCTTTGTGTGGGGCAAAGTGCACATGGGGTTGTGTGTACTGTATTCTCGATACGCAGCCCCCCCTCCCGTAGTCGACTTAACTCGTCGGTGAGTTTTTAAAGGAAATCTTCGGAACTAAGGGAGATAGCAAATTTTTGTTAAAAAATTAAGAGGGTGAGGGAAGTTGTATTGCATTTTCCATGTACAGTATTCATGCAAGGTTATATGTACCATAATTATCTCATAATTAAAAATGATTGTAATATTTGGAGTTGGACATGGACCTGGGAAATACTGGAGAAATGCGCTGCTAAAAAAATAACTTCTTCTCCCAAAAAAATTATTCCTTGGCAAAAATAAGGGTAAATGTTAAGAAAGAGGGCCCCACCCCCGATTTTTCTGAAAATTTAGGGATGTGTTCGGGATGATGTTATTAGCCACTTCGTCACTTTAAAATTTGGGGAAACGTCTCAGTGAGGAGAAATCGCGAATACCGTATCTCATCGCTATCTGCGTTACCCGGGACCAACCACGTGGAGGTGGCGGTGCTCTGGTCCCTCACAACACATTTTAACACATAAAAGACAATCGGATAACACAGAGATGAATGATATGTGGCCCTGAGTGAGCCGGACTCACCCCCTCCCTCCCTCCCGCCCTGACACAAACCGCCGCTATACTCCATGTAGCAATAATTCAATTAAATATTAAATATATATGTCTGGGGGGCTGAGACGGGAGCAAGCCTATCCAGCACCATTATGTCGTGAGATGATTATTAGAGGGTAATGTCTGGCAATAGTGTTAATGCAGTAATTAAACCTGACTTCCAACTCCACGGAGCGTTCAAATATGGGACATTACATGTCAACTCAGCCACCCTGGGTTTTTTTGGTTCTCAGAATCCTGAATTAGTATGCTCCCAGTCAAGTAGTACATGAGTACATACTTTGTGACGGACTTTTCGAGAATTCTGCCACCTGTACACAACTTCGCCGTAGAATTAAGTAAATCGTAAGAGTGAGTAGGTAAGTGTGACCTTATTTTGATCTTTTCGGAGAGAGAGTCGCGATTTCCTTAACCCCAAAAAGTTAGCACCCCTCCGAAAGGGCGATGCAACACCCACTTTAGCTCCAGCTCGCAGAAACCGGTCCCCAGGAACATCAGGAGGGGCCTCGCGGGGAAAAACAACGTTCAATTGCAACAGATAATTAAATTCACGTGTCGATACCCATTAAAAACGACTAAAAAGTAAAATCTCCGGTTCAAGTCATATTAAAGTTTTGTTCTCTTTTAGTTTCAGTGATCTTTCTGGTTTATTGCGGATTTTAGGGGATTGATTTTCGGTTTTATGGTTGAGCGAAAATTTACAGTAATTGTAT